GGGGGCATGGTCAGGGCATGGAGAATCTGCTCGAGGGGGCATGGTCAGGGCATGGAGAATCTGCTCGAGGGGGCATGGTCAGGGCATGGAGAATCTGCTCGAGGGGGCATGGTCAGGGCATGGAGAATCTGCTCGAGGGGGCATGGTCAGGGCATGGAGAATCTGCTCGAGGGGGCATGGTCAGGGCATGGAGAATCTGCTCGAGGGGGCATGGTCAGGGCATGGAGAATCTGCTCGAGGGGGCATGGTCAGGGCATGGAGAATCTGCTCGAGGGGGCATGGTCAGGGCATGGAGAATCTGCTCGAGGGGGCATGGTCAGGGCATGGAGAATCTGCTCGAGGGGGCATGGTCAGGGCATGGAGAATCTGCTCGAGGGGGCATGGTCAGGGCATGGAGAATCTGCTCGAGGGGGCATGGTCAGGGCATGGAGAATCTGCTCGAGGGGGCATGGTCAGGGCATGGAGAATCTGCTCGAGGGGGCATGGTCAGGGCATGGAGAATCTGCTCGAGGGGGCATGGTCAGGGCATGGAGAATCTGCTCGAGGGGGCATGGTCAGGGCATGGAGAATCTGCTCGAGGGGGCATGGTCAGGGCATGGAGAATCTGCTCGAGGGGGCATGGTCAGGGCATGGAGAATCTGCTCGAGGGGGCATGGTCAGGGCATGGAGAATCTGCTCGAGGGGGCATGGTCAGGGCATGGAGAATCTGCTCGAGGGGGCATGGTCAGGGCATGGAGAATCTGCTCGAGGGGGCATGGTCAGGGCATGGAGAATCTGCTCGAGGGGGCATGGTCAGGGCATGGAGAATCTGCTCGAGGGGGCATGGTCAGGGCATGGAGAATCTGCTCGAGGGGGCATGGTCAGGGCATGGAGAATCTGCTCGAGGGGGCATGGTCAGGGCATGGAGAATCTGCTCGAGGGGGCATGGTCAGGGCATGGAGAATCTGCTCGAGGGGGCATGGTCAGGGCATGGAGAATCTGCTCGAGGGGGCATGGTCAGGGCATGGAGAATCTGCTCGAGGGGGCATGGTCAGGGCATGGAGAATCTGCTCGAGGGGGCATGGTCAGGGCATGGAGAATCTGCTCGAGGGGGCATGGTCAGGGCATGGAGAATCTGCTCGAGGGGGCATGGTCAGGGCATGGAGAATCTGCTCGAGGGGGCATGGTCAGGGCATGGAGAATCTGCTCGAGGGGGCATGGTCAGGGCATGGAGAATCTGCTCGAGGGGGCATGGTCAGGGCATGGAGAATCTGCTCGAGGGGGCATGGTCAGGGCATGGAGAATCTGCTCGAGGGGGCATGGTCAGGGCATGGAGAATCTGCTCGAGGGGGCATGGTCAGGGCATGGAGAATCTGCTCGAGGGGGCATGGTCAGGGCATGGAGAATCTGCTCGAGGGGGCATGGTCAGGGCATGGAGAATCTGCTCGAGGGGGCATGGTCAGGGCATGGAGAATCTGCTCGAGGGGGCATGGTCAGGGCATGGAGAATCTGCTCGAGGGGGCATGGTCAGGGCATGGAGAATCTGCTCGAGGGGGCATGGTCAGGGCATGGAGAATCTGCTCGAGGGGGCATGGTCAGGGCATGGAGAATCTGCTCGAGGGGGCATGGTCAGGGCATGGAGAATCTGCTCGAGGGGGCATGGTCAGGGCATGGAGAATCTGCTCGAGGGGGCATGGTCAGGGCATGGAGAATCTGCTCGAGGGGGCATGGTCAGGGCATGGAGAATCTGCTCGAGGGGGCATGGTCAGGGCATGGAGAATCTGCTCGAGGGGGCATGGTCAGGGCATGGAGAATCTGCTCGAGGGGGCATGGTCAGGGCATGGAGAATCTGCTCGAGGGGGCATGGTCAGGGCATGGAGAATCTGCTCGAGGGGGCATGGTCAGGGCATGGAGAATCTGCTCGAGGGGCATGGTCAGGGCATGGAGAATCTGCTCGAGGGGGCATGGTCAGGGCATGGAGAATCTGCTCGAGGGGGCATGGTCAGGGCATGGAGAATCTGCTCGAGGGGGCATGGTCAGGGCATGGAGAATCTGCTCGAGGGGGCATGGTCAGGGCATGGAGAATCTGCTCGAGGGGGCATGGTCAGGGCATGGAGAATCTGCTCGAGGGGGCATGGTCAGGGCATGGAGAATCTGCTCGAGGGGGCATGGTCAGGGCATGGAGAATCTGCTCGAGGGGGCATGGTCAGGGCATGGAGAATCTGCTCGAGGGGGCATGGTCAGGGCATGGAGAATCTGCTCGAGGGGGCATGGTCAGGGCATGGAGAATCTGCTCGAGGGGGCATGGTCAGGGCATGGAGAATCTGCTCGAGGGGGCATGGTCAGGGCATGGAGAATCTGCTCGAGGGGGCATGGTCAGGGCATGGAGAATCTGCTCGAGGGGGCATGGTCAGGGCATGGAGAATCTGCTCGAGGGGGCATGGTCAGGGCATGGAGAATCTGCTCGAGGGGGCATGGTCAGGGCATGGAGAATCTGCTCGAGGGGGCATGGTCAGGGCATGGAGAATCTGCTCGAGGGGGCATGGTCAGGGCATGGAGAATCTGCTCGAGGGGGCATGGTCAGGGCATGGAGAATCTGCTCGAGGGGGCATGGTCAGGGCATGGAGAATCTGCTCGAGGGGGCATGGTCAGGGCATGGAGAATCTGCTCGAGGGGGCATGGTCAGGGCATGGAGAATCTGCTCGAGGGGGCATGGTCAGGGCATGGAGAATCTGCTCGAGGGGGCATGGTCAGGGCATGGAGAATCTGCTCGAGGGGGCATGGTCAGGGCATGGAGAATCTGCTCGAGGGGGCATGGTCAGGGCATGGAGAATCTGCTCGAGGGGGCATGGTCAGGGCATGGAGAATCTGCTCGAGGGGGCATGGTCAGGGCATGGAGAATCTGCTCGAGGGGGCATGGTCAGGGCATGGAGAATCTGCTCGAGGGGGCATGGTCAGGGCATGGAGAATCTGCTCGAGGGGGCATGGTCAGGGCATGGAGAATCTGCTCGAGGGGGCATGGTCAGGGCATGGAGAATCTGCTCGAGGGGGCATGGTCAGGGCATGGAGAATCTGCTCGAGGGGGCATGGTCAGGGCATGGAGAATCTGCTCGAGGGGGCATGGTCAGGGCATGGAGAATCTGCTCGAGGGGGCATGGTCAGGGCATGGAGAATCTGCTCGAGGGGGCATGGTCAGGGCATGGAGAATCTGCTCGAGGGGGCATGGTCAGGGCATGGAGAATCTGCTCGAGGGGGCATGGTCAGGGCATGGAGAATCTGCTCGAGGGGGCATGGTCAGGGCATGGAGAATCTGCTCGAGGGGGCATGGTCAGGGCATGGAGAATCTGCTCGAGGGGGCATGGTCAGGGCATGGAGAATCTGCTCGAGGGGGCATGGTCAGGGCATGGAGAATCTGCTCGAGGGGGCATGGTCAGGGCATGGAGAATCTGCTCGAGGGGGCATGGTCAGGGCATGGAGAATCTGCTCGAGGGGGCATGGTCAGGGCATGGAGAATCTGCTCGAGGGGGCATGGTCAGGGCATGGAGAATCTGCTCGAGGGGGCATGGTCAGGGCATGGAGAATCTGCTCGAGGGGGCATGGTCAGGGCATGGAGAATCTGCTCGAGGGGGCATGGTCAGGGCATGGAGAATCTGCTCGAGGGGGCATGGTCAGGGCATGGAGAATCTGCTCGAGGGGGCATGGTCAGGGCATGGAGAATCTGCTCGAGGGGGCATGGTCAGGGCATGGAGAATCTGCTCGAGGGGGCATGGTCAGGGCATGGAGAATCTGCTCGAGGGGGCATGGTCAGGGCATGGAGAATCTGCTCGAGGGGGCATGGTCAGGGCATGGAGAATCTGCTCGAGGGGGCATGGTCAGGGCATGGAGAATCTGCTCGAGGGGGCATGGTCAGGGCATGGAGAATCTGCTCGAGGGGGCATGGTCAGGGCATGGAGAATCTGCTCGAGGGGGCATGGTCAGGGCATGGAGAATCTGCTCGAGGGGGCATGGTCAGGGCATGGAGAATCTGCTCGAGGGGGCATGGTCAGGGCATGGAGAATCTGCTCGAGGGGGCATGGTCAGGGCATGGAGAATCTGCTCGAGGGGGCATGGTCAGGGCATGGAGAATCTGCTCGAGGGGGCATGGTCAGGGCATGGAGAATCTGCTCGAGGGGGCATGGTCAGGGCATGGAGAATCTGCTCGAGGGGGCATGGTCAGGGCATGGAGAATCTGCTCGAGGGGGCATGGTCAGGGCATGGAGAATCTGCTCGAGGGGGCATGGTCAGGGCATGGTAGGCATGGAGAATCTGCTCGAGGGGGCATGGTCAGGGCATGGAGAATCTGCTCGAGGGGGCATGGTCAGGGCATGGAGAATCTGCTCGAGGGGGCATGGTCAGGGCATGGAGAATCTGCTCGAGGGGGCATGGTCAGGGCATGGAGAATCTGCTCGAGGGGGCATGGTCAGGGCATGGAGAATCTGCTCGAGGGGGCATGGTCAGGGCATGGAGAATCTGCTCGAGGGGGCATGGTCAGGGCATGGAGAATCTGCTCGAGGGGGCATGGTCAGGGCATGGAGAATCTGCTCGAGGGGGCATGGTCAGGGCATGGAGAATCTGCTCGAGGGGGCATGGTCAGGGCATGGAGAATCTGCTCGAGGGGGCATGGTCAGGGCATGGAGAATGAATGATGTCATTCCTCTGATTCTCTTCAGGTCCCTTCAGAGACAGTCCCAAGGGAGCAACATATGGATCTAGACCTTTGAGCCGACACGAGCAGCGCAGCTCAGCGATCCCCTCAATGCAGCGCAGCTCAGCTCAGCACAGGGGTCAGTCGAAATTTCACTTGAAATTGCAAGATTTGAAGTGCAATTTTTAGTGCAAATCCCATATCCAGTGCAATTTCATTGCGAATGCCAGCGCAAAATCTCGTGACTTCCAGCCTCACCAATACTGCAGCAAGGCATCGGCGAATGAGCGGATCGCTGACGGGTCGAAGCACCTCGTACGGCCTTGCTGCACCCTCCTCATCCCCACATTGATGCCTCCTCCCTGCCTCCTCCACCTCTCCACCATGCCCCTTCCCTGCTCTCTCCCTCTCCACCTCTCCCTGATGCCCCTTCCCTGCTCTCTCCCTCTCCACCTCTACCTGATGCCCCTTCCCTGCTCTCTCCCTCTCCACCTCTCCCTGATGCCCCTTCCCTGCTCTCTCCCTCTCCACCTCTCCCTGATGCCCCTTCCCTGCTCTCTCCCTCTCCACCTCTCCCTGATGCCCCTTGCCTGCCTCGCCCTCCCGTTGCCCTCCATGCTTCACGCGGGTCTCCATCCACTCGCTGCTCTCTCTGCTCCACTGCACTCTGTCGTGTGGCAAATTGCCCAGCACCTGAGGCCGAGGAGAGGGAGGGGGAACGGCGGATGGGAGACGGATGGAACGTGAATGAGAGGCGGATGGGGGAGAAGAGGAAACAAAAGAGCTGCTTCCTCACTCGCCCCGCTCCCTGCTCCGCTGCACGCTGTTGTGCGGTAGATTGTCCAACACCTGAGGGCGAGGGGAGGGGAATATGGAAGAGACAAGAGGATTGTGAAAGCACTCCACCCCACTCAAGATTTCCTGACAAGAGTTTTTTCTCTCTAGCATATTCAAAACCCCTGAGCCTGAGCATTTTCCTCCCAGGGTCTCCTGAGAATGAGAATCCTCGACATGCCCTTTCCTCTGATGCTGTGATTTGGCGACGCTTTCATTTCTTTCAATCAGGTCAATGGAGAGAGGCTGGTGCTGCTCACCTCGAATAAGAGAATGAAGCATGGCTCGTTGGATGGTGCACCTGCGACACACATGGCATGATGGCGTGATGGCGTGAGGACATGATGGAAAGACGAGACAAACAAATAAATGAGATGAGATGAAGATGAAGATGAGATGAGTCATGATGGTTGAGAATGCAAACGCTCATGTTCCGTAGATTAATCAGTACATCTCCACTTCCCTTCCCCCGCTCCTTCTGCCCTACACACAGCCACCAATGCGGGATGAGCATGGAAACGAACACCTTTCGAGGCGAACCGAACAGGATTTTTGTTTGGCTAAAAATGTTTCGGGGCGAACGTGTTCGGTGTTCGCCCCGCTACTGCTGCCGAGCCGCGTCGAACACGAACGCGTTCGTGTTCGTTTCGGGGCAAAAACGAACACGAATGTGTTCGACGCGACTGTCCCGCGATCTACAATTTACGTTGCGGGACATTCTGTTTGAGCTCAAATTTGAGCTCAAACTTAGTCGCGCTATTCGGCAGCAGCCATTACTACCACGCCCCCCACACATCACGCCATTATCACCTCATTAGGACTTAGCGCAATTAAGTAGTTACCTTAGGTTAGTCTGTCTAGACTTGGGTATGCGAGATTTAGGTTTTCGGGAAAAGATTCGACAGGGATACCGCAGAATCTCGTAAGTTGAGGGTTGGGGGTAAGCATTCGCAAATTTCGTATGCATGGGATTGAGAGGAATAGCGTTCGCATATTTCGTGAGTTGGAGGGTTGTGGGGGGTTGGCGAGCAATCGCAAATTTCGTAGATATAGAAGGGGGAGAGCATTTCGCCTTACGTGGGGGGAAATCCAGGTGGCGAGCTGGATAAATAAAACTATGGATCCGTAACTAGATCTTGCAAAATGCTGATCCAGCCTATATATTTTCCCCCAGTTTCCCGCAATTCCCCTGCCCGCCGTTGCGTATTTCGAGCGTAACAAAGGATGCCCAGGGGCGAACACGAACGTGTTCGCCCCCAACACGTTCGTGTTCGCCTTAGCATGCAAGATGTTCGCCCGCACAGGCGAACATTGAACACCCTTTTTTGTAAAAGGTGTTCGGCGAACCGAACACTGTTCGGTTCGCCGAACGGCAGTGTTCGAGCTGGGGCGAACGCGAACACGTTCGTGTTCGCCCCTTGCTCATCCCCTTCTCTTGCCTGCCTCCTGTCACCTCACCCACCCTCCCTCACTCCCCCGATGCGCACCCCCCTCCTCCCCTTCACTTCCTCCAAAATAAACAAACACGCACCCACACTCACCCCAGCCGCGCACATCAGCCGCATCAAACACCGCCACGGAATGCACCGACCCTTGAAAAGACTTGTGAGGCGCCTAAAAGTCGTCTCGTCCCCTACCCATCCCACATACCCACACAAACCCACACGCACCCACACTCATCCCAGCCACGCACATCAGCCGCATCAAACACCGCCATGGAGTGGACCGACTCATGCAAGGAACACCGAGCACCATCTGAATCATCAACAAAAGCATCCCCAGCAGCCCCAGCAGCCGCAGCAGCCCCAGCAGCCCCAGCAGCCCCAGCAGCCCCAGCAGCACCCCTCTTCTCCCCAACCCCCCTCCCCTCACACACCCACACACGCACTCACCCCAGCCGCGCACATCAGCCGCGTCAAACACCGCCACGGAGTGCACCAACTCATGCGACGAACGAGAATCGCCGTTTGAAACAGCACGAGAGGCAGAGCCGCCGTGTGCGGCCTTGGCCACTCGCCGTGCTCTGCGGACACTTAAAGCGGCTGAAGCTTGTGCGCCAGAAGGTGAACCTGGGGTGACTGTGGCAGCCAAAGCAGGCGTAGAAGCTGAAGCAGGTGTGGCAGGTGTGGCAGGTGTGGCGGGTGTGGCAGGTGAAACAGCTGAAGTAGCTGGAGCAGGTGTGGCATCAGAAGCAGGAGTGGCAGGTGGAACAGTGACAGGCAGGGCATTCGTATGGCCTGTGATCCTCTCTCTTTGCCTCTGGGCGAGAGCAGGGCTGATCTCCACAGATCTGGGAGAAGGGAGAGGGGAAAGGAGGGGAGAAGGGGAGAGGAGGGGAGAAGGGGAGATGTGGTGAAAGGTGTTTGCATAGTCAGATGCCCACTCGTATGGCCGGTACGAGTGGGCTTTGTGGTAGTCAGTCCTGCTCTCGCCCAAAGGCAAAAAGAGTAGTCATAGTCAGATGCCCACTCGTACCGGCCATACGAGTGGGCATCTGACTATGACTATTCTTTTTGCCTTTGGGCGAGAGCAGGACTGACTACCACAAAGCTGGAGAAAGGGAGAGGAGAAAAGGGAAAAAGAGGAGCTTTGGCGAAACAACCAGCAAGCAGAGGCATACTCACTCACTCACTCACTCACTCACTCACTCCCTCCCTCTCTCACTCACGTGTATCGGCAGTGCCGGTACACAGCAGGAGCCTTCTCCTGCAGGCGGTCGAGAATATTGCGAGCCAGGTGCCGCCGCCCCCTCCCACCTCATAGATCACTGACAGACTTGTTCACACACTTATACAAAACAAACATGGATACTAACTCACTCACGTGTATTGACAGTGCCGGTACACAGCAGGAGCCTTCTCCCGCAGGCGGTCCAGAATATTGCGAGCCAGCGTGCCGCCGCCCCCTCCCACCTCATAGATCTACTGTTGGGGGTTCGGGAAATTAAGGGGGTTGGGAGGTTTGCGAGGGGGTCGTGAGGGGGGTGCTGGGGTTGGAAGGATTGCCACCAATGTGCCAGCTGCCTCTTCCCACCTCGTACATCTATTGTTAAGGAGTTGGGAGAGGTTTGGAAGGGTTGGGAGGGGTTTGGGGGGGTTGGGAGGAGTTTGGGAGGGTAGGGTGAATTGGGAGGGGGTACTGTTTGAGGGGTTGGGATTGGTGGAAGGTTAGAATGGTGGCAGGAGCGACAGCAGGAGTGACGGCAGGAGCGACGGCAGGAGTGACGGCAGGAGTGACGGCAGGAGTGACGGCAGGAGTGACGGCATTCACACAGGTAAGTAGGTGCCACAGCTCACCTTGAGGGGCTTGGTGGGCGGGTGGGCGGAGAGAATAAAGTCGGCCACGGCATAGCCGTACCATGGCTGGTGGTTGGGGTGGGGGGAAGAGGGGGAAGACGGGGAAGAGGGGGGAGACGGGAGAGAAAATGAGGCAAGGAGACAACAGTGATTACCATGGGCATTCCTGTGAAACAATATTGTATACCATGGCTGGTTGTTGGGAGGGAAAGAGGCGGCGATACACACGGGGAGGATGCGGGGAACGAATGAACGTGGTTGAAAACGATGAGGAAAATCAGAAACAGACACCCTTGCATTTTCACCTGAACCACCCATCCCTGCGTTTTCACCTGAACCACCCATCTCTGCGTTTTCACCTGAAACAGCTCCGAGGGAGTGAACCAGGAGGTGTCAGCAGAGGCGTAGAGCGACTGCTGCAGTGCCACCCACTCCCGCCGCCCTGCCAGCTGGCGGAAGCTGATTGGATGCGAGAGGGCGCCGACAGCAGCAGCGTTGGAGGTGAAATATCCGTCCGTGGGGTGGTAGAGGCTGGTGTGGATGAAGTCGCGCACCTGAGGGCGCGGGGGGGGGAAGGGGGGAGAAGGGGAGGAGAAGGGGGGATGGTGGGGGGAGTGGGGGGTTGGGGGATTGGATGGCGGAGGAAGATGTGAAAACAGCCGTCCGTGGGATGGTAGAGGCTGGTGTGGATGAAATAACGCACATTGTCACATGCTCCATTGTCATAACTGCCACTCCTTACAAGCACACCGTCGGTCTCTTCTCTGCCCATCGTGGCAGCCGCCGTCGGATCCGTCGATCCATCCTTCGGCTCCCCGCCAATCGCGCTGACACCATCACCCCCGTCTCAAGTCGCTGCCCGACCTCCGTCATCTCCGATTCCGTCAACTCCGGATGCGAAACGGCGATAATGGTTCAGGTCGGGCGTGACAAAACTGAGCGAGATCCGCGTGACTGCATCGTTGGGTGCTACTATCGATGCCACGTGTCTTAGCTGTGTCATTCCGCACGCAAGGTGGTTCGTCACCGGGATGGTTCTGGTCCGGCATTGCGGAATAAGCCATGTGGAACATAAGGGGATCCTATTAGGGTAAGTTGACAACGCGCGCTCGATCAGCGAGGTCCACGCAGTCGAGCCGCGGAAGGCAAGGGTCGAAGCAGCGCGGCTCCACGCCGAGAGAACACGGATTCGAGACATGGTTCGGGCGCGATGGGACCTGCGATGTCATGTGCAGGAAACGAAGGTACTGGCTTGTGAAATCACGTTATCAAAAACCATATAACAAAAATGGCCGAGGGCTGTGATAAGTTTATCTGGTCGAAGTTATAACAAATACAATACACTTATGCTCCCCTATCAGCGTCTTGCCTCTTGCGGGAAATTGAAATGTCAGGAAGCCGCAACGCCACCACAAGAGCACAGCGCATGCCATAGGGATGCTTTTCTGTGCCTCCTTGCTTTCTTTGTCGCTTTGTGTGACCCAGCGGAACCGAGGGAGGTGGTTGGTTCAATCGGATAGATTTGGGTGGACGAGAAAACAGAAAGTTTTTTAGAACGAAGATTTACCCTCGTTTGTGCCGCTCCCCACATTCCCGCTTCTCATCCTTTCATCACCTCTGCCTTTTTCCAATGGTGACGCTTGTTGCGTGTTTTTGTTCCAAACGGTCACATAATACACTATTGTTGGCATGGACAGCCGGACCAGACTTAGTCGGACCGAAGTTTAGGGCTACTAGCCCCTACAGCCGAGCGTTTTCACAATGGCCTCAATCAGCCTGTCGCGCGCACCTTTCTGCCTGCACTGTTCCCGCCGGGTGTCCTTCTTGGTCTTCTTTCTCTCCTCCCTCCCGTCTTTCTTCGCGGCCCGCTCTCCCATCTCGACTCTGCTCAATTTGCACCTCCATTTCCCGCTTACCCCTCATAGCTGCATCTCGCCACTCTTCGCCGCTTCTTACCGTCTTCAGTCTGTCTCCCTCCCTTTTCGCCTCTCTCCTCTCGTCAGTCACATCACATCCCAATCGAATACATCCGCCTGTCCCTCCCTACCTGCCTTCTCAATTGGCATCTACGGTATTTACCTGTTGATCTCCCGCACATTTCTTCCAACAACTTCCCTTCCTAGCCCTTTCAACCCAGCCATTCTACTTTCCCCCACCACACCCCCAACCTCCAAACTCACATGCGCCACTTTTTAGGAAATACTGTAGTAGCACCACAACTACCATTAAAACCTATGTGATGCCATGAAAGCCTTCCCAAACCTTGCCAAGGGCTGCATTACCTTTAGATATGCCCGCAACGTTCATTGACGCTTGTAACGCCATAACCTCGCGGCGCCTCGTCTGATTTTCCTTGGTGTAATCACGCCTATTTTTTCGTCTTCATTCGTCCGCCGCCCAAATCATCATGTCCGACAGCGGCAGATTTGATGCTAGTAGTACAGGCAGATCGACGGTCGTTAATATTGGAGACGAACAGACGGCTGACATCAGGAATTCCGAATTCGCGGGAAACTCCTCCGGTCGTCGCCAGCGCCCCCCGGCGCGCGGCGGTCTTTCCATCGACTTGGACGAGTCGAGTCGCGGCCGCCAGACGGCGGCGTCTTCTCGACGCGCGCTCTCCATCGACATCGAATCCGCGGAGAAACCCTCCGCGGCAGGCGGCGGAAGAGGTAGCGGGGACGACGGCGCAGATGACGCCGCATCCGCCGCTGCCATGCCGAAGACGCCATCGGAGCGCGTACGCGCTATAATCATGCAGGCCGCCTCGGAAGGGCAAGACGCCGTCAAGGCGGAATCGAGCGGGAAGCAGCGCGCCGCGGAGCTCCACGCGAAGCGCCAGCGCAGCAGGCGGGGCCTCAGCCGTCGCGCTGGCAACAGCGTCCCCGAGTCTGATCGCGATGCTACATCGTCTGATACACTTTCGCGAGTGGACAATGCAGCGAGTACGGGAGCCGCCGCCGGCGGCGGCGGCGAGGATTATGATTCGCTCGTCGATAGTGGATACGGAGAGTTTGTCGCGGACCGGGATGATTATTCTGACTGTCAAGAAAGCGAGAGCGGGTCGCACAACGACGATATATACGGCGGCTTTCACGGCGGCTTTCACGGCGTGTCAATCAGTCCGATCAGGGCGGGGCCTATGGGTCCGCGGTTCGGCGGAACGAGCCCCGGCAGCCCCGCGAATTCGGAAAGCCATCTGTTTCGTCGCGGTCCGAAGACTTATAGCGACGCGGGGACTCCGAGGAGCGACGACGGCCGAAGCGCGGCCGGCGGTGACGTGGTAGATGATAATTTCGGAGAAACCGGGGAGGGTGGAGTAGGGGAATTTTACGGGCAGCGGAAAGTTGGAAACGGGTATATTCAAATGAACGCGGTGGGGACGGTCGCGTCGGGGTTCACGCTTCTGGACATGGGGGGTAAACGAGAGCAATATGGCGGATACCGACGGGTAAGTTTATAATTGACCCGTATTATCAAAAGGTAAGTCCGAGCGACACGAAGGCATGCCGAGGTGGCGAGCACATAAACATTCACTTACGCGCACATGAATAAGCAACTCACATGCATGCGCGCGCGCTCGCACACATTCTCGCGTGTGCACAAACACACACACACACACGCACGCACGCACGCACGCACGCACGCACACACACACGCACACACACGCGCACACACACACACACACGCACAGTAAATGAACTCTGTGTCAGTACATTGCGATCCCATCATTCCCATCCCGACGGCTGAAATAACCCGTCCTGTCCCCATTAACACTCAGGCAATTCTATCCCATCCCCATCCCCATCCCCATCCCCATCCCCATCCCCATCCCCATACTTCCGAATCACCCCCATACCGCACCCATTAACTCTCAGGGCGTATCTTTGGTTCGGGTCATGCACTGTTTGGGTCATCCGAGATTCTGGGAAGACCAATCAGGCGCATTTTAGTTACACTACTCGAATACCATTGGTCCTCCCATGACCCAAAGTGTACTGATGACCCAAACAGTGCCTTATGACCCGAACCAAAGATACGCCCTCACAATCCCTGCCACCGCCATCTCCTTTGCTTCCTCACCTGCCCGCTCTCATGCCCTCTCCGCCTCCCCATCCCCATTCTCGAGGCGTCTCATAAGCTGTTTGATTCCCTGCAATGCACGATCCAACGCGCAAAAGCTGATTGCCCCGTCTCACTTGCTTCCCTATCCCTCCCGCCCAAACCCATCTCTCCCGCCCAATACCATCTCTCCCGCCCAATACCATCTCTCCCGCCCAATACCATCTCTCCCGCCCAATACCATCTCTCCCGCCCAAACCCATCTCTCCCGCCCAATACCATCTCTCCCGCCCAATACCATCTCTCCCGCCCAATACCATCTCTCCCGCCCAATACCATCTCTCCCGCCCAATACCATCTCTCCCGCCCAATACCATCTCTCCCGCCCAATACCATCTCTCCCGCCCAAACCCATCTCTCCCGCCCAATACCATCTCTCCCGCCCAATACCATCTCTCCCGCCCAAACCCATCTCTCCCGCCCAAACCCATCTCTCCCGCCCAAACCCATCTCTCCCGCCCAAACCCATCTCTCCCGCCCAAACCCATCTCTCCCGCCCAAACCCATCTCTCCCGCCCAAACCCATCTCTCCCGCCCAAACCCATCTCTCCCACCTGATCCCATTTCTCCCGCCCAATCCTTTCTCGCTCCAGCCATCCCTTTTCTCCCTCCAACGATCCCTTTTCTCCCTCGCTCCTCTTTCTCCCCTCCTTCCTCACACCCCACCTCCTAATCCACCCTCCTGTTAATTTCCTAAACAGTACAGCCAGCACGTGCGCCCAAACACAGAGAACATTGCTGATTGTGCCGCACTTTGTCCTTCCTCCCTCCTCTCTCACGCTCCCTAACACACACCCATTGCCCGCCTCCTTTCCTTTCGATCCGCCCACCCCCAACCCCAGTACTGGCAGCGTCCAGAAACACACAAGACCGTACTGATCCTGCTTCTCTCTGTCTTCCCCCCCTCCCCCCTCTCCCAGGCTCCTTAGCCCACCCAGTACCCTTCCTTTCCTTGTGTCCCTCACCTCACCCCCATTTGCAGTACTGGCAGCGATCGGAAACACAGAAGACCCTGCTGCTCTTCATCATGCCAGGCTACCTCTGGGCGAGGCTACAGTTCCAGCTACACTTCCCTTCCCTTACAACCTTCTTATCCGCGACCCAAAACTTATCTATAGATCTACTCTACCTCAACACCTCCCTCGCCGCACCCGATAAGGCAACATCGTACCCGAAACCCAGCCCATCCCTCCTCCCTTGGCCGATTCTAGACTACAGTGCACTGAACTCTACAGAAGCAGACTCGCAAATAGTTAGAGTGATCTGGGAGTGTAACAACTGTAGGATTCCGGGGGGGCATGGAGCCGATTTGGAGGAGGACGAGAAGGATGGGGAGGTGATGCGGGTGAGAGTGGATGGGAAGCATTTGAGAGTGGTGGGTTCGAGCCACGTGATTGGTCTGAATCGGACGGTCACGCTGAATGAGATCGGAGGGTCCAGAGGAGCTACTCGTCCACGGCAAGGCATGGACTTTGTCTTCGCTGTTGTGCCGCATAAGTGAGGGGGGTTTTATAAGAAAAGTGTTCAGTACTGCAGTGAAGGTCCATTACTAAATTGACAAACTACTGACTATTCTGATATAGACAGACTGACTGTGTTGTCGCTTTGCAGATTGGCTCGAGAATATCTCATGCTGTGAGTAAAGCTGGT